GGCTAGAGTCTGGAACCAGCTTCCAAGTGAGGTGGTGCAGGCTCCCACCCTGGGGGTTTTTAAGAGGAGGTTGGATGACCACCTTACTGGGGTCGTTTGACCCCAGTACTCTTTCCTGCCATGGCAGGGGGTCAGACTAGATGATCTGCTCAGGTCCCTTCCGACCCTAGAAACTATGAAATGATTGCTTTAATCCTAGGATTTGTGCAGAGGCAGGGACAGGGTTGGGAGTCTGGGTGTAGCGGGGCCTGTTTGTGAAGTAGAGGCTAGGACCCAGTGAGCGCGTTTGTGTCTGTGCTGGAAGCTGCCATGTTGCTCTGTGCTGAGCGGTCTGACAGTCTCTGTGCTTCCCTCCTCCCAGGCTGTGTGGCAGCTACCCCCCATCCTACAACTTAACCTTCCTGTCCTCCAAGAACATCATGTTGGTCACGCTGGTCACCAATGCCGAAGGCAGGCGCCCCGGCTTCAAGGCTGAATTCTTCCAGCTCCCAAAGATAAAAAGTGAGCAGAAGAAGCCTTCCTGTGTCATGGGCGGGAGAGGGGAGGGACAGCCGATGCTGTTGACATCAGCTTGGCAAGGATGCTGCAGGCGAGTTGAGAGACCCTCGGAAGCTGCCCTTGTCCCAGCTCTCAGAGGAGCTCATCTTACCCATAGTGTGTCTGTCTGCTTTAATGATGCCCCTTAAGGAGTGTGTGGGAGGAATTATGTAGGATTACACATGAAGATTGATGTTGGCAGGAACCACCTAATTGGTCTCCTGGGTTCAGTCCAAGCCTTTGACTGGAGCTGGTATCTCCAGAGATCGGCTTAACCTCGTTAAAGGCAGCTTTGCATGTCTTGCCATTGCTGCTTTTGACAGGCCAAGTAGCTCCAAGTCCTAACCCAGCTTCTTCATCCTGCTTGTCTTCTAGGCTGTGGTGGGACATTGAAGGAAACCACTGGGACTTTTACCACTCCTTTCTACCCAGCACACTACCCCCCAAACTTGGACTGTACGTGGGACATTGAGGTGAGACGGTCAAATGAACTTTGCTCTCAGGGAGTCTGAGAAACTGTGGGCAAATTGAGGCCCATCTGTCTGGGCAAGTGAGTCTGTAGTTTGAACTGGCTCATGTTTCATGTTACACACCACAATTATCTCATGGTGGCAAGGTGTGCAGGTGGTCACCGAGGCTGAGAGATTAGCAGAATTCAGAAGGGGACTGGAGGGCAAGTGTCAAGGGCAGGAAAAATGTGCAGGTGCACATCTGATTCCCACCGTCACCTCCGTCCATAGGTCATGTGGACAACAGCATCAGCCATTACTTTGTGTAAAGCAACAACATAAATGGTTGTACCTGAGGGCACAGATGGACCCCTAAGTGACAGGGTTGAAGCAGGGAACAAACTTCCCTTGGGAGCTATTCCACTTAAGAGCTTTAAGGCTTGTGGCCTCTGAAGCATCTGCTGTTGGGTAGGAGATGGGGTGCTAGGCTAGATAGGCTCTGTTGCAACTCAGTTGACCACCTTCTCCATTCCTTTCCCCTCTGTGGAAGTCCCCTATGCAGCTGTATCCAGTCCTGGTTCTGACTAGGACCTGCTGCTTTCCCTTCCCTCAGGGAGGTTATTCCACATCCAAATAGACCTCACCGGCCAGGGGTTTTCCTTGACTTTCTTCTGAAATCCACTGGCCTGGCAAGGTGATAGTTGGCACCTGGATCACTACCTTGCTTGATCACTGGGACTAAGCTTGAGCTATTGTGGCAACCCATGGAGCTGTCTGGAGTAAACTGCAGGTGGTAGATTATTGCCCTGGTTTAGCCCCTGCCAGGAGTCAGGTTTGATCAAGCTTTGCCTGATCCCTCTGCCTTTTCTGGTTGTAAATGTATCTTAGACTCTTACTGTGTCCTAATGAATCCAGGTGAGTGCTTACTTGGGGCAGGGAGAGGAGTTGCTTGTAGCCTGGGTCTGCTCTTGTGTCCCTTCCAGGGTTGTTGTCTGCCCATTCTCCTGTGTCATGCTCACACTTGCAGCCTGTTGGTGGGGCTCCGTCTTAAACCCCTTTCCACACTGGCTTGACAGAGATAATCTGATCCCTGCTATTTCCAGAGATTGTCTTAGCCTTGTTAAGAAGCACCTGCCAAGGCAGAGAGTCGCAGATAATACAAAATAACTGCCTTTTCCTTTTTCATTATGGACTTGTGCTCTGCTCCCAATTTCTCCCACCTCCCATCAAAGTTGGTCACAGAGGAGATAGGAGGAAAACGAAGTCTCTGCTCCTAACCCCACTGCCTCCTTGTCCTTGCAGGTGCCTAGTAACAAGAACGTGAAGGTGCGTTTCAACCTGTTCTACGTGCTGGAACCCGGCATCCCCATTAACACCTGCACCAAGGATTATGTAGAAATCAGCAATATGAAGTAAGTGCTGGGCGCCCAGCACTGGGCTCTGTGACCTGATTCTGACACTAAGGCAGAGTGAAAATTAGTCTGAGGAGGTGTCTTTTCATGTGATTGTGGAAGTCACTTCCACAGCTTTGTTGAGACCAAGGAATTTCCTGTATGTAAGACCTTGGGTGTTGGTGTTCTCAGTGCAGAACCGAAAGAAAGGGACTTGAAGGGATCTGCAGAGTTACAGTAGGAAGAGGTTGTTGGGGAAGTAGGTTGATTACTTTGCACCAGCCTACTGTGGAGTCCTGCTGCTTTCTTTGAGGCATCTAGTGCTGGCCCCTGCCCCTGCCAAGCCTTATCTGCCCTGCAGTGTTCCCCTGGCTTGTGTAGAGCGTCTGAACCTGCGAGCTGCCTCAGTCCCTTCAGCAGCCAGTACTACCCCAGGGTGCACTGTATACTCCATTGGGGAGCTGCTGAGTAGAACTGCCACTAATGTACGTGTGAGCAACACTCACGGCTTGGCAGTGAGCTACTATCTGTCACCAGGCATTCATCCAGTAAAGCCAAATACATGTAGCTGAGATGAGATCTTGAACTGGATGGAGCCTGTTCCCCTCTGGCAGCTCCCATGGAGAAGGGCAGGGTTTCAATATTAATGCAGTGGCTGTGAGAATCTGGCTAGCTGTCCCTCATTAGGGGTTATTGCCTTGCAACTCTAGCTGAGCTAACTACTTGGTTTGAAATGATGGGTGCTAAGCTGAAATGAACTCTATTATTTTAAAAATTCTGGCACTGAATAGCATGAGATCTGACTCTCTCACACATGTGGGAGTTCAGGTTTTGAACCTGATTCTGCATTTTGCAACCAGCTCTTCTTACTAGCAGCAGCTCTTGGGAGCAGTAGTCATGGACGCATGCTTCCAAAGTGTTAGGTGTTGTACAGAGAAAAGCAGATGATTCCTGCCCAAAGAGGTTCCAATTTAAATAAGAGGCAAGAGGTGGACACAATCAAGAGAGCACAAGGTAGCAGAGAGGCACAACTGGTCAGCATGGCAGGCACATAGGTACCAGTGTCAAGCCATCGCCTAGGGTTTTGTAGCTCTTCCCTTTGTTGTTGGCTGAATTGCATCGACCAGGGGTTAAAATGCAGCGCTAAACTTTGCAGCTCTGTTATGCTGGAAGATGCAGCTGAGTCTGATGCACCTATTTGTGGGGCCATGGCCACCCCTGCCAGCTGTGCTGGACTTGGTCAGTGTTTTAGATGATCTGAGCAGTAAGAAACCTAGCGGTTTTCTAGGCCACTTTGTATGAGGAGCCCAGAGTTTGCGTTTTTCTCCATTAGCCTCTTCCACTGTAACTCTGCAGCAGGTAATAAATCCTGTGCTGTGTCCCCCTCCAGGTACTGTGGAGAGCGCCCCCAGTTTGTGGTGGCAAGTAATACCAACAGAATAACAGTCCGGTTCCACTCTGACCAGTCGTACACTGACACTGGCTTCTCGGCAGAGTTCCTGCCCTACGATTCCAGTGACCGTAAGTTAAACTGAGGGCACCAACCTTGCAGGAGGGCAAAGGAGTAAGGTGCAGAGCAGTGGGGTTGCAGGTGAAATGGGTGCACACAATCCTGCTGATGGCTGGCCAGATGCAGCTGCCCTACAAATTCTCTAGCCAAATCCCTAAGCCTCATGCTCCTTGATCCTGTGAGGGAGATGGATGCGCTCTGGGAAATTCATGTCCAGACTTTGGAGCTCCAGCCTGTTCATTTTGGTGTAATGTCTCCTGTTGGTATCTTCTGACAAATGCAGGAAAAATGGCTTCTGTGAAGGAAAGCACAGGATGGAGCAGCTAATCCTAGGCCCAACAACATGGGGCATCATGGACTTTCCCTAGAAAATCCACTCCACTCGCATGTAGCCCAGGCTGCCAACAGGAGCATGTGTCTGTGTCAGCACAGACCTCCTTGATCCTCTATGTAGTGGGTGTGGGCAAAGAAATGGTGAATGGGTGAAGGCAAGAGGACAGGATGGTCCCTTAGAAGCTCATGCATGTCCTGTCTCCCTCATTGTCCACAGCCTGTCCTGGCAGATTCACCTGCAAGACTGGCCGCTGCATCGACAAAGCCCTGCGCTGTGATGGCTGGATGGACTGCTCAGATGCCAGTGATGAGCGCTCCTGCAGTAAGTTGTGCCTCTAACTGCTGCTTGCTTGTGGCGGGTTGGGAAGGTCCCTGCTGAACACGGCGAGTGAGAAGTGAACCCCTGGCTTGCTCATGTCTGCAGGGTCAAGTAATGCAGGAGGCTTCTAGATAGCGGTCAGGGCTGGCAGTTAGTTAGACAAGGCAGGTGTCTCCTGAACCACAAGGGAGAGAAGCCCCAGTGAAGCAAAGGTCTTTGTTGCCTGTTTCTGGCCCAGGTGGTCCATCCAGGAGCTCTCCAAGCTGCCAAATTGTTGGAGCTTGATTCAGGCCTGGGTGCCAATATAACACTTGCTGGTCTGGCTCTCCAGCTTTGTGACCTCTAGTGTGCAACAGTGCTGATTCTGCCAGCCGGCTTGCCAGGTTCTTGAGTGATGGCTCTGTGGTGTGCGACACGTGGAGGCTACCTCATCTCTGCACATGTGGCATCAGTGCTGTGGCTGTCGCTGTATTGCAGAGGGACAGGGGCAAAAGTGTACCTTTTGAGCAGTTATCTTCATCCCACTAGCTAGGCAGTTGAGTTGGTCTCAACTACTTGAAGTTTGGGGACAGAGACATTTCCACAGCTGGGGCTGTCTGACTCCAGGACTTAGTTTGGCACCTGACTTTTAAGTTCTGTGAATCTGGCTGCTTTTTCCACTTCCATAGAAGAGAGCCAGACTCCAGTTTGGGGAATCCCATGTGTCTAGCAGCAAATTATGCCTGGAGAGACCTCCCTTAACCACCAGTTTCATGGTGATTGGCTCCAGAATCCCCTTTGAGTCTGTGGGTCTGGGTTTTCATTACTTTTAATCTCTCTGCCGACAGCCAGTGCCAGGTCACTGACTTGAATCATTATCCCACCCACCTGCTGGGATATTGTTCCTTCCATTGAATACTTCTTGCGGATGTTTGCTTCCTCTGAACCTCGAGGCTCTGGTGTAAGCTGCGGGGTTGGCCTAAGGGCAGGCATGCGTTTCAGTATCTCTAGCAGAAGCTTAAGGTACTGTTTGTGGCTTCTTCCTGAGCTGCTGAGCTTGGGAATCGGTGTGTGTGTTGTTGTAAATTAACCTTTTCCTCCAGGATTATTACACAAATCCCCCTAGTAATGTCTTTAGTGGTCCATCAGAGGAGAGTGGAGAGCCTCCAGTTCAGGACTTTACTGTGCTGAACAGACTGTATTTGCTGGGACTGGGGTAGCTGCTACATATGGCAAGGGCTCACTGCTCTCTCTGGTCAGCTCAGAGATGTCCTGTAGCATCCTAGGAGTCTGTTGCTTTTTGACTGACTTTTTCGTGTAGTTAGTATTTTTTTCCATCAGTCGCCATTTTATGGTAGTGTGGTTCCCAGTTCTCTTTCATGTGTAAGATCCTCCTGAGCCTTCCCCTGGTACGAGCGGGTTCTCAGAGCTGTTGCCTTGTCTGACTCGGCTGTTTTGCCTTCTCAGGCAGGGCTGCAGCTTGTGAGGGTGCTGAGTGCTCAGGGGGCTTCAGGAGGTCCTTGGCATGTTGCAGGGGCAGAGTGAGGTGTTCTCGCTGCAAGTCTCTAACTCACTGGGCTGTGCCGCCCACCATGCCCCAGTGTCTTGGTACCTCGTGGCCCTGTTGCCCTCTGGCCACGCAGATGAGTTCACAGTACTCTTGCATCTTCTCACGCTTCCCTCTTCCTTCCCCTAGACTGTACCAAGGAGCAGTTCAGATGCAGCAACGGGTGGTGCAAGTCGCTCATGTGGGTCTGTGACGGCGTGAACGACTGTGGAGACAACAGTGATGAGGAGCAGTGCAGTAAGTAATGGGTCCAGCACTCCATCCAACCATGAGACCTGACACGATGCAGGACCCACGTATGAATGCAGGGAAAGCCGTGAGCCACCATAATGAGACCTAGATGTGATCTGATCCGTGCTACCTAAAACTGTCAAAACCCTGGATTTAATCTGAACTGATTTGAGCAGACAGAGAGGATTGGCTTGTCCAGCAATAACCCAAAGAACAGAAGTGACCAGAAAGCGCCTAGGTTAGCATGGACAGTCTTAGTCTTCTCACAAAAGACCCCAGAGTCTTGTTATTTAGATTTCAAAAAATGCTTATTGCAGACTCTAGGTAGCCTAATGATTAATCATACAGTAAGTAAAATCAAATTAAGTTTTGGTAGCATTGAAATCAGCGCTATAGGAATTCTGCTGGCCAGTCATTTATTCCTTCGTGGGAGCAAACTTACGTCTGTCTCTGAAGATCCCTTTCAACTGGTGCCCTTTTCAGTGTGCATGGAAAGTCCCCAGATGTGGGCTGTAGTCAAACAAGAGACTTACATAAGAGGCTTTATTAAAAATAACACAACGTTTGGTGGAAAAGGGGACAAGGTAAGTGGCTGAAAAGGGAAGGGGTTCCTGAAAGAAGACAGGCAAAGAGCGCAAGGGCTTCATCTCAGAGCTGGAGAACTGCAGGGTCTGTCTGGGCCCAGCAGTCTCCTGAAAGCCCAGTCCCATCCCCTCCATCACAAGGGCAGATTAAAGCAGGGTCCTTGGGGCTCTGTCCCCTGCTTGCTGGGTCTGACTTGCAGCTGTTTCCTCTCCTTTCCAGAATGTCCAGATCAGAACTTGAAGTGCCGCAATGGGAAATGCATCCCTGAAGCCCAGAAGTGCAATGGCAAGGATGACTGTGGGGATGGAAGTGATGAAAATGACTGCGTCGGGGGTGAGGAAGGGCTCAAGAGGACCATGTGGCTTTGAGGGAAGGGGCACATCTGGGAATGGTCTCTCAGAGCTTGTTGTGGGAGACCCCGCAAGCTCCAGGCATGTGCCACAAGCAGGGTCTCCACCAGTGGCCTCAGAAACCAGTCAAGAGAGCTGTGATCACAAGTAGTATCCTGTAGAGTGAGGGGGGTCACAATGCCAAGAGGGATCCGCGTTTCATCAGTGTGACATGCAAGGCATTGCCATGGAGCTGAAACTCCTTTCTGCCCATGGGACTCGGCTATCCTCCCCAACGAGAGAGCCCAAAATGTGATCTCAGGCAACACCTCCCACCCAGCATCCTCCTCGGGGGTTCTTCTACCGGGTGCAAAATGGGGCTAAACCCTCTGCTTTTGCCTTTCAGCAGCCACGGCTGTCACCTGCAGCGAGCACACCTACAAGTGCCGCAGCAACGTGTGTGTGAGCAAGAAGAACCCGGAGTGCGACGGGACACAGGACTGCGCCGACAACTCGGACGAGGAGAACTGTGGTGAGTGGCACAGGGAAGGGGTGGGGCCAAGGCCAGGTTTTTTCTAGGATCTGCCCCCAAATCAGGACACTTAGGAATGAGGGGAGTATCTGGTCATTCAGGCTCCAGGAGGGACCTTGTGGCAGTTGCTGTCTTCACGGGGTGTAACCAGACAGTCATCATTAAACAGTGAAGGTTATTTGCACTATGACATTTATTTAGGACCAATAAATAGTTTCTGCTCTTCTGTGTACTCTGTTGGCTCCGCCATTCCAGTTAGCAAACTCTGCTCCCACTGCTGTGCTGATAGCACCAGCAATGAGCTGCAGAAATGGTGGGAGACCTCTGACTTCCCAGGGGGATCCCATGAGATTTGCAGCAGGTAACTAACAGGAGCCTCATGTTTCTTCTTGGTCCTTTTCCCCCTCCCCTTGCAGACTGCGGGACCCGCTCGTACAGCAAGCAGTCGCGGATTGTCGGCGGGCTGGACTCGGAGGTGGGCGAGTGGCCGTGGCAGGTCAGCCTGCACGTGGAAGGCCAGGGGCACATCTGTGGGGCCTCGCTGGTATCAAACAAGTGGCTGGTGTCAGCAGCGCACTGCTTCCAGGATGAGATGCGGATCAGGTGGGTGCTGCCATGGGACTGGGCCTCATCTGCTCTCCAGACTTGGGTGGGGTCAGTGAGATGTTAGACCTGTGCACACACCTCCAGAAATGGCCAGGACATCAGCCCAGTGCTAGTCCAGTGTCCTTCCATCTTTGGCAGCCAGTCCCAACTGCTTCAGCGGGAAGTACAGCAAACATGGCTGTGCCTTGCAGTGGAGAATGCTAGACCCTCCTGGGAAGTTCTCCTGTCTGGAAGCAAGTTTGCTGTGTCACTCTGGCCCACGTCATGGCTCCAGCCTCTTTGGTATAAGACAGAAGCTGTTCTTGCCTGGGGCTGGTGTGTGGACATCCTACGTTGCCAATGCTCTGGCTTATTTAGATGAATCAGAGAGAAGTAGAGCTGGAAGAAACCTCCACAGGTCATCTAGTCCAACCCCCTGCTTGAGGCAGGATCATCCCTATCCAAACCACCCTATACAATCCATAATCTAAATTTGACATAAGACTGTTGTCAACCCTGACACAACAGAGACCTAACATCCTAGTCTGCCACAGGTAAAACAGGGGAACCACAGCAGCCAATGTCCTGCCTCTATGAAATTTTGTCAATATGTGCTCAAGAGATCCTGGGTAGAGGGCAATGCCGCCACTACAGAGGAAGGCAACCCCGCATTCCTCACCGTCCATACCAATCTGATCATGGGGTAAAATTCCTTCCTGACCCTGGTCAGAATCCTACAGTGTCCCTGGGTGGCTGCTGCGCCTCCAGGCAGGTGGGGGATGTAGCAGTGTTTAGGGAAAGGAAAACCCATAGGTTTATTGTCTTGGTTTTGTGCCCTGTTCACAATGGTTCAAATAGCATCTGGGCCTTACCTCCCTGCATGGTTTGTGGTAGGTGCTGCAGTGCCTCATACAGCAGCGGGTAGAGGGTGATCTTTAGTCCTGCCAAGGAGCTGGGAGTCAGGACAGCATCCGTCTCCGGGTGAGAGATTCTAGCTGTGGCTGGGCTGGTCGTGGTGTTGTCTAGCAAACTGTCCAGCTGAGGGCACTGCAGCAGCTGCGTAGTCTAGCAGAGCCCTGAGCAACACCTGAAAGGAGCATAGGGAGATTTGCAGTCCCATGGAATATTCTGGCTACTGCAGATTGACGGGGAGAAGTCTGCTTTCCATCCCTGGGGGAATTCAGCTTTTCAGTGAAAAAACCAAGAGCTGTATTTTCTCTTTGGAAATGCCACCACAGTGCCTGCTGTCTCCTAGCCAGGCATAGTGTCAGATGGCGTCTCTGCTGTGCATCCCGGTCCTCCCTTGCAGGGGCTGGAGCCATTTGCCTCATGGGAGCCCCAGACTGTGGTACATCATGGGAGATGGTTTGGGTAGACTGTCTGGCCCCTAGAAAGGAATGGGAACAGCAGGCACCTGTGCTACAGCTTCCATGAGGTCCCTCAGCAGTTTGCTAAATACCAATAGTTCAGTTTTCTGACCAGAACAATCTATCTTTCCCCTGCAGAGCACATTTTAAGAAACAATGTTAGTTTTAAAGAACACCTTTTTGTCAAAAAAGGTTTTTTGCCACATTTGCCTTACCCTAAAACAGTTTCCAGTCCCCCCCTGTATCACCACATGATGTGTCTTTGTGCAGATACTCGGACTCCAAGCTGTGGACAGCCTTCCTAGGCCTCCACGACCAGAGCCAGCGGACTAACGAGAACGTCCAAGAGCGGAAGATCAAGCGCATCATAACCCACCCCAGCTTCAACGACTTCACCTACGATTACGATGTCGCCGTGCTGGAGCTGCAGAGCCCGGTCACCTTCAGCAAAGTTGTCCGGCCCATCTGCCTGCCCGACCCCACACATGACTTTCCCTCTGGCAAGGACCTGTGGGTGACTGGGTGGGGAGCCACCTCTGAAGGGGGTGAGTGAGGCGTGTGTGTGTTTGTGGGCAAGGGGTGAGAGAGTCGGGCACAGTGCCTGCCTTGGTGGCTATGTGGTTGTTCAAGAGGTGTGAAGGGAGTCCATGGGGTCCTGTGAGAGTTGCACCACGGTGGGAGCTTTTTCCATAGGCCTTCTGGTACTTGCTAGCCTGCTTGGGTGGCCAGTGATGATGGTCAGTGCTGGGACTTGAAGGCAGGTGGCTCCCCACAGCTGATCAGCAGGGAGGCTTGGGACTCTACTGACTGTGTCCCAGTTCTGCTGCCATAAGCCCCCAGCCTGGGCTCCACAGGCTGCCCCTGTCCCCTGCAGCCAGACTATCATATTGTGGCTGGGAGTACATGGGCTCATCTCCAGACCTTGGGGAGAGTTTGGTGCTTGGCTGATCAGTGAGGGAGATAGGAGCTGCCTGGTGCTCAGCATGAGGGATTGAATCAGAGAGCAGAATGAGTCTGGGGAGAGGTTGTGCTGATGGATGTTGGGGGCTGGAGCATGTGCTCTGCAACCCAAGTGCTCTGGGGGAGAAGGAGTGTCTGGACCTTCTAACACACCACTTGCCTCGGGTCCCCGCAGGTAGCGGTGCCACCATCTTGCAGAAGGCAGAAATTCGGATAATCAACCAGACCCAGTGCAACAGCCTGCTGGCCAACCAGATGACGCCACGCATGATGTGTGTGGGGATCCTGACAGGAGGCATCGACGCCTGCCAGGTACTTCAGGAGGGACAGGGACAGTCGTAGCAGCGGGGAGCTGTCTGACCAGGACTGCTCGTACACTCAGTGTGTGGCACCAGTGGAGATTGAACACTGGTCTCCCACAGCCCTGCCTTCAGTGGCTTAAACCATCAAGCTGTCTGTCCTCCAGGGAGTCGGTAGAGGCCCCTTCCACTGTGGAATGGGAGTGGACAGGCTAATTTGGCCTCCTCTGAGCCCTACTTGTTGGAGTCATGGGGGAAGGAGACGGTCCTTGTGTAACTGGCATTTCTGCCCCGTGCAGGGAGACTCTGGTGGGCCGCTGGCCAGCACGGAGACCAACAGCAGGATGTTTCTGGCCGGCGTGGTGAGCTGGGGAGATGGCTGCGCACGACGGAACAAGCCAGGGGTCTACACACGGGTCACCCATCTGCGGGACTGGATCAAGCTGCACAGTGGGGTATAGGAGCTCCGCAGTGGGGTGCCAGGCTCCGCATGAGCTCACAGCACCTCTCGAGCTCGACTCTGGGTCTCTTTTGAGCCGGCGATTGAAGGGAATCATGTGCGTGTGTGTCGTTTCCTCTGCTCTCCCACACTGCTGGACCAGTGAGGGGTCTGGCCTGGCCAGTGAGCAGACATGGGGTGAGCTGTGGGCAGCTGGGACATTGTCTCCAGGAGCTGCACTGACGTACCCCTCTACCTCAGCTGAGCAGAACTCTTCGGGGAAGAGCCAGGAGCCCTCCTCTTCACTCCCTACCTTAGCAAAGGAGCTCCAGGGAAGCCTCCACTCCTGTTTCAAAAGCCCGGGATTGCGGTGCAGCAGTTGCCCAGCAGGATGCTGCAGAGGATGGGACTGGCTGCATTTAAAGCGGGGCGGGTGGGGGAGGGTGTCTGTGCTTGAGCATGCAGCTCCAGAGGCAGGACTGGACCTGTTGGGCATGTAGTGAGTGATGCCAGATGTGGTTTTTAGATTAACCCTTTGGCCCCTTCCTGAAATCAGTGGAACTGAAAACTGGTTTTAAAATAATGTCTGCGAGTTGCTCTGCCCCATGTTCCCCTTGTTGCCAGCACCTGGTTTAATGGTATTGGGAGAGTGCAGGTTCCTGGTCCCCAGGGAGCCATCCCAGAAGCAGCTCCCTTCAAGGCCTTGCCACCAGCCTGGCCTGGGGTAGCTTGGCTCAGGGAGGTTTTTATTCATGTCTGTCTGATGTTTTAGAAATGGCTTTTACAGCTGAGAATCACAAATGAAGGAGCAGAATAGATGAGGAGAACTTCTTTCCCCCTGCCAGCCCCTCAGGTGTCCAGGGGTAAATGCTGTGTGATCTATGGCTGCCGGGTCTGATCCCTCCTCCCAGCCTGACCCCTCACCCCTCCTGTTGGTACCCAGCTTGCTGTGCTCCTAGGTCCTTTCTTATCGGGTCGAGGTGATGGCTGCAGGGCTCTGTATGGCTCCAGCATTCTTGCTGCCCTCTGCAGGCATCTGCTAGGGGTGATGGAGATGGGGTGGCTGTAGGAGATGCCTCTGCTTGCAAACAAGTCTGATTTGTTTTGGAAGAAGCTGAGACCATTGGAGGTACCCTAGCAGCAGATCGTGAGGAGTGAGTCAAGGAGGTGACCCACAAAGGAAGGGTCCTGGTTTGAGCTGGTGGCTTCCCTTGCTAGCAAGGCTGTTGGGATGGTGAATCCAAGTTCACCAGCCCACATGAGCAAGGCCACAGTCTCAGCCCCACTGCCCTACCGTCCCCGAGTTCTCATTAGCTCATTGCACTCAGGTCCTTTGTTGAGACCTCAGGTTGGAGACAGCCCCACAGAACTTGCATCTCCTAGACAGGCTGCAGAGGTCTAAATTCAGATGAGGTTTGAACCATAGATTTCGCAGTCCTGTAGGATGTGCGCAGAGTGCCACATTCTGGGACTCGGAGCATCTTGTCCAGGAGCATGCACGAATTCATGCTCTGGGCTTGTCATAGACCTTCATGTGGACCATTGACGTTAGAGCTCAGGCTGCACTTTGGCTGACCTGGCTTTTCACACAAGTGCTTTAGATGTAGCCCCTAGAGCAGCGTGCGTGCGTGTGTGTGTGTGTGTGTGTGTGTGTGTGTGCGCGCGCTCGTGCACATGCACGGTACCTATTTTCTGACCTGCACGTGGGTCAGATTGGCATTGCCACAATGTGCCTTATTAGGAATGAGCTGTAACACAGCCAGCTGTGGAGCTCATCTCTGTGATACAAGTGCCTCCTGTAGCTGGCTCTTCTTTAGTCATTGTGTGAAGCTGCATCCTTAGGTGAGATCTTTTAATGCCTTTAAACAGAGCATAGTCAGGGTCTGGATCCAAGGATGCTGTGGGATGTCTGTGTCTTGGGCAGTTGTTAATATTACTCCTGAGCCGTGTGTGTGTGTGCGCATGTGCACCCAGGCAGTAGAGGTGTTACAGGAAGCTGTTATGTCATTGGAGTGAGAGCAGAGCCCTGCAAATGGCCCATATGCAGCTCTTTCTGCAAGGAGGGTGAGGGGCTTATAAACATGCTAACCCCCTTTGCTTGCTTGGGTGACCTGTCAGGGAATGTCTCAGGCTAGGCGTCTTGAGAGGACCTAGGTGGGGGCTGGGCTAGGGGCAGAGCTCAGTAGCTTTTTATCCATTTTCTTGGTTTTTAAATAAATGTTATGTTGTGATTTTTATCTATTTGATCCCATTTGCGTCTGTATCTGTTGCTCCCTTTGGCTTTGCTGTGTAGATGTCGGGATGACAAGGCCCAGTGATCTGTTTGTCTGAACCCTTCCCTGTTGTGAAATAATTTTTGTAGAGGTCTGAATGCAATGGAGATGCCACTGTCAATCTGGATTAAACTGGGAATTTTGATAATACTCTGCCTCTAGCCTCTCACATTGTACTTTCAAACTAAAAATGAGAAAGCTGACAGGTGCAGAACAGCACACAGCACACCCTGTGGAGTGAAACCTTAAAAAATGGGGATGAGAAACAGGGAGAAGACAAGCACACGCAAATAAATACTTTTAACGATTAAAAAAAATCAAACGGGCAACAATAAAAAAGTATACCCGCTTTTATACTAATGCTAGAAGCCTAAGATCAAAAGTAGAGGAACTTGAATGCTTAGCATTAAATACCAATATCTTCTGTGTGTCAGATATCCAGGCTGTAGCCATATTGGTCTAGAGGCAAAAGGAATCAAAACTCGTGGCAGAGGTGATATCTTTTATTAAACCAACTAGATATTTGCAAAAAAAAAAAATCTTCATTTGCAAGCCTTCGGGCACAGGCACCCTTCATCAGGCATAGAAGATTGCAAAGATTGTAAAAGTTCTCCTAGAACTCATACTGGTGGAGGAGTGGCACTTGATTATAAAAGACTCCATTGAATCAAATAGGGTAGATTTTCCAGCTGGTCAGGAGGAGCGTCTCTATGGATAGAAATTCCAGGTTTCAATAGAAAAAAGTATGTCTGGGGCTAGACTATTGGCCTCCCCTTCCCTTCACCTCCCTTGAAACCAGGATGGCAGCAGTGAGCTAGAAATGCTAAGGGAGATGAAAGAGGCTGCAACAGCAGAAAACACAGTAATAATGGCTGATTTCAATTATCCACAAATAGGCTGAGTCAATCTAACTAACATCAGGCTGGGATGCAGAGACCAAATTTCATGAAGCTATAAAAGACTGCTTCCTGCAGTAGTTAGTCCTGGAACCTACAAGAGGAAAGGCCATTTTTGACCTGGTCCTAAGTAGTGCATGGGAACTGGTGCAAAGGGTAAGTGTAGGGCTGGGATTTAGAGAGACCACAATAAATCGGAGGATTGGACCAAAAGAAATGACATGAGGTTCAACAAGGAGAAGTGTAAAATCCTGCGCTTAGGACAGAACAATCCCATGCACTAGTACAAGTTGAGGACCAACTGGCTAAGCAGCAGCTCTGCACAAAAGGGCCTGGGGGTAGTTGTGGCTAACAAACTGAATATGAGCCAGCAGTGTGCCCTTGTTGCAAAGACAGCTAATGGCATCCTAGGCTACATTAGTAGAAGCATTGCTGGCAGATCAAGGGAAGTGATTATTTCCCTCTATTTGCAACTGGTGGGGCCACACGTGGAGTCCTGTGTCTAGTTTTGGGCCCCCTAGTACAGAAAGGATGCAGGCAAATTGGAGAGAGTCCAGTGAAGGGCAGTGAAAATGGTTGGGGGTCTGGGGAATATGACATACGAGCAGAGGCTGAGGGAGCTGGGCTTATTTAGTCTGCAGAAGAGAAGACCGAGGAGGGATTGAATAACAGCCTTCAACTACCTGCAGGGCGGTTCCAGAGAGGATGGAGCTGGGCTGTTCTCAGCAGTGGCAGATGACAGGACAAGGAGCCAATGGGCTCAAGGTGCAGCAAGGGAAGCTGAGGTTAGATATTAGGAAAAGCTTTCTCACAATCCATGGTTGCACTGTGGAGATGCCCGCTAGACTCCCAGTGGGAGCATAGGGCACCCACGTCCCATCTCCTGCACCAGCACCGCTGCCCCTTCCAGCTGGGATGTGTGGGGCTTGGGCCACAGAGAAAACGAGGTGAGTGACATTGGTATCCCCTGGTGGCCATGGGTGACTGGTTTTGCCACCTTGATCAAGGCCTTGCTGCTCTTCACAAAGGCAGAGCGTCTCTGCTCCAAAGGTGTCTGGCCAAGCCAGATGGGGCTACGCAGGGTGCTGCGCTGGGTGCTGATAGACGCACCCAGAGTTGCACAGCAGGTCTGTGGGAGAGAAACCCTGGGTCTCCTGACTCTACCTACTGGGCCATGCTCTTTCCAGTCCCATTTGTATCTTGCCCCGAATGGTTCTTTCTCTGTGCTCATCCCGAAGTTGCTCCTGGGGCTCTCTGGCCCCAGGATGGGGCCTGTGCTACTCCTTTCCCTGGCTAGTGCTTTCTTCATCCTTCTGACTGGGGCTTTCCAGTTAGGCAATTTGGCCCCCGCCCTTGCTCAAGACAATGTCAGGAAATGGAGCTGGGAAGGGAAGGAAACACCTTGTTGGTCAGAGGTGCAGTATGGGGACAGGGCAGGAGCGAGAAGGGAAATGCATGCCTCGCATGAACATTTGTTGTGATGTGTGTGCCCACACTGTGGGGTGGGGGTGGCGGTGGGGGGGGGTAGATGCCCCATGGAGTTGCTCTGATTCCCCAGCTAGCTGCCTGGTGCAACTGGGCTGAGGTCCAGCCTCTTAACTGGAGGTGTTTCTGTAATGAGGTGCTGTGGCCGTTAGATGGCAGTGCAAGCCCATGGGGAACGGGCATTGCACCTGCCTGCCCTGGGCACCAGGTAGCGGGTGCAGGTCTGCCTATACCAGTCTGTCCCCTCCCTGACTGCAGAGTATTGTCCATCCATCCATGGGAAGGCGGGCTGGGGAGAACAGGGCCAGGCTGCGACGGGGGGAGTATCCAGTGGAGAAACAGAAATTAGACCTCAGTGCAGCCGTGGGGTTAGCCTCAGGATGGAGGGGAAGGGTGGCAGGGCAGGATGGTAGGGCACTGCCATGTCTCTGTGGGAGGAAACCCAGGGCTGAGGGCACAGCTGCATGGGGGACCCAGGAGGAACTGAGACCAAGGCTCCCAGAAAGGGGTAGGAAGAAGGGAGCCTCTTGATAACACACAGATCCTCTATTTGCAAGACACTGCTGACAAGGAAATTTGCAAATCTTCCCCGCCCCAGAGATGCAGGCTGCTGCCAGGCCGGCTGAGCCTCAGTACACATGTAGCAAAAGGGGCAAAGTTTTGGGGCTGGGACTGTGACTGTGAAGGGAAACTGCAAAAAGTTGATGCTGCCAGTGCCACCCTCCATGCTCAGGACCTGCCCAGTCCCACCTCTACCTCTCCCCAGGCCCTTTATATGAAAAGCTTCCCCAGGTAATCCTCAGGTTCTCACTCTTTCCTTCCACAGTGGCCCTGGTCCTGTCTTTCCCCCCAAGCCTGAAACACAAGGCTGGAAAATGATGCAGATTCCTGGCCTCTGCCCATCGGAGAGGAGCTCTAGCTGGGACCCTGCACCATGAGGCTTCTCCATTGACAGCATGTGCCAGAGTCTTTACAGATGCAACAAGGAAACCGTATCCCTTGTGCAGGGCAGCAGGTGGCCCAGCCGCAGCAACCGAGATGGGAGCAGGCAGGCGTGTGCTGACTTCACAGGCAAGTGCCATCCACTGCAGTCAGCCCAGGAGATACCCAGGGCAGGGGACAAACAGTGCCCAGAGGCTCCAGCCAGAGAGATCGCAGAAGAAGGGGCTTATAGGAGGAGGCAGGTGGGCTTGCTCCTGGGTGCCTCGCTCTGAGATGGCTGCACTCAGCAGGGGTCTGGCAGGGTGCACATGATAGACATAGGTCTGGGTAATGTGCCCCACCAGGCTGAGGCATCACTGGCACTGAATGGTGCCTTCTCCAGCCCTAATGTTTTCAGGGCAGCCAGTGGGCTCCCAGCTCTGTCTCTGCTCTCAGCTGCTGGCTTTGACCCCCTGCGAGCAGCCAGGCTCATTCCTTTGCCTGCGGGCCAGACGCTGCTGCAAGAGGCAGTAAAACGGCTTGTATACAAAGCTGCTGCAGGCAGTGACATGCCAGTTGGAGCTGGTTTTGTGTGGCAGCCTGGTGTGGTTTCCATGCCAGCTTCCTGCTCCAGAGCTACTTGTGGGAGACCAGCCCTAAATTGCAGGCTGTTCTGCCCCTTAGCTGTGCCATACCCCCGGTGGGGCCTGCCAGAGCGACCAGTGGGGTCTAAACTCATATGTGGTCTGGTACTTTGAGCTATGGACCTGTGAGCAGGAAGGTAGTGTCACTGACTTAGTGTGACTTGAGCAAGCCCCTTCAGCTGTCTCCACCTCTATTTCCCCTATGTCTGACGAGGGCTTATGTCTTGAACACTCTAGGCATGAAGTGTGTTGGGATCCATGGATGGAAAAGCCTGTAGCAGGGCAGCGTATTTAGAGAGAGTGTGTGTGCGTGAGTGCATGTGCCCTTGGTGGATAGGGCACGGGACTTGGAATCAATTGCTGGTTTTGCTGCAGCCTCTGCCTGACCTTGGGCACATCACTTAATCCTAGGCCATCTCCTCCGCTTCCTGGGACATGGCCACCTCAAGTGCTGGGAGAGTGAAATCCCTTTGGACTGGCTGCTGTAGGATCAGGGTAGCTCTGTGAGATGGGCAGCACTTTTATTTTTGTATCCTGTCACGGTAATTTGTGAGGTTGGTTGGAAGCAGCAAATCGAGCCCTGGAACTGAGACAGTATCAAGGAGGGGAGAGCAGAGGATCCTGCGCTGGACGGTCTGAAGGGACTCAACATGCCAGTGAGTCAGTAATGCACCAAGCGGAGATGCCACCAGGAATGGATTGCGGGGGATACAATCGCATCCCCCTTTGATTTCTGGTCCACCCAGGAAATGAGTGAAATGCTGCTAACTTAAATCCTGGGCTTATTTTTGGAGCCTGGCCCATGTGGAGAGCTTGTTGCTTTATTGGCAGGACAGTGCCCTGATCATGGCTACAACCATAGGCAGGGCACGCTCAGTGGGCAGGTCAGTGCAAGTGTAATGCTCTGTGGGAGATGCTTCTCAATTGTCAAGCTGCACAGGGTTTGGGTTGCTGGCCTCAGACCCAGCTCCTGTCTTCTCTGAAGTGTAGGCCATTCAGTCCTGGGGGCGCAGGTCCACCTATAGCTAAGAACTATGAAATTTTGAGAAAGGGGAAGAGGCAGATTCTGAAAGCATCCACTTATCCTACAGAGGAAGTTGGGATGGGCCGGAGGTGAGCTCATTTTCTCACTGTGCATTTCATAGTTTCTTAGTTTCTAGGGTCAGAAGGGACCTGAGCAGATCATCTAGG